GTACTGATTTATATTCCACTGGCAATACATGAGAGTCCCAATACCCTTGGCAACTTGTGTTATCAAATGTTTTAATCTTTGCTAAAACTGATATATTTCAAAAAATGATTTTGGAGTACATTTCTCTTATTTTGAGAAAATCCATGCAATCGAATTCTATGTAATGTTTTCAAAATTTAATTACCAAAATCTATTATTAAGTGAAAAAAGGAATTTGCAGACTATTATTTAGTATACTACCATTAGGATAAAAAGAGGAACATTTGTTAAAAGGGAGAAATAATCTATTATTTGTATATGTATGTATGTATATGTATACAAGAATTTATTTTAAAAATCTCTTGGCGTACATTCACAAAACTGAGAGCTGATCTCAAAAGGGACATTATGTGGCCCAGTTTTAGAAACAGAACAGAGACTCACAGACTATGGAGACAGCCCAGCTGTGCTTGTTTTGCGTTGGTGCAAACTCTGATAACAGATCATTTGCATCTTTTAAAATTTTTGGGCCGGGCACAGTGGGTCACACCTGTAATCCCAGCACTTTGGGAGGCCAAGGTGGGAGGATCACATGAGGTCAGGAGTTTGAGACTGGCCTGGCCAACATGGTGAAACCCCATCTCTAGTTTTAAAAACAAAATTTATATATAAAAATTAGCCTGGTGTGGCAGCTTGCATCTGTAGTTTTGTTTAATTAAGGGATTCTAGACATACAGAAAGATGCATACAACTTGATGAATTTTACCCTTTGCACACATTCCTTTAACCATTACCCATTCAACATATATAAAGGGCCTGGCATGGTGGCTCACACCTGTAATCCAAGCACTTTGGAGGCCAAGGTGGGCAGATCACCTGAGGTCAGGAGTTCAAGATCAGCCTGACCAACATGGTGAAACTCTGTCAAAAAAACAAAAAAAAAACAAAAAAAACCTCTAAAGGTCCATCTTTCCTCTTTCTGGTCAATATGCTTCCAGAGGTAACCTCCATTCTGACATCCATCATCACAGATAAGTTTTGCCTGTTCTTGAACTTTATGTACATGGAATCATGTAGTATGTCTTTATATATTATGTCTGGCTTCTTTCAACACAATGGTTTTGAAATTCATCCATGTTACTGCATATCATCAGTAGTTTATTCTTTTCCCTGCTGTATAGTATTCCATTTATGAATATACCACAATTTGTTTATCCTGTGAACTTATAATGGACATTTTATGTACTATTCAGTTGTTATGCTTATAAAATATAATAATTTTGTTTATTTCATTAATGTTGAACAGTTCCCTCAAGCAAAACTTGTTTTGTTGCAAACTGTGCTAGAAGTAGTGAAATACTAAACTAATAGTAGATTTAGTCTTGTTTGTTTTGAGACAGAATTTTACTCTTGTAGCCCAGTTTGGAGTGCAAGGGTGTGATCTTGGCTCACTGCAACTTCTGCATCCTGGGTTCAAGTGATTCTATTGCCTCAGCCTCCACAGTAGCTGGGATTATAGCTACCTGCCACCACGCCCAGCTAATTTTTTTGTATTTTTAGCAGAGACAGGGTTATGCCATGTTGGCGAGGCTGATCTTGAGCTCTTGAACTCAGGTGATCCACCTGCTTCGGCCTCCCAAAGTGCTGGTATTACAGGCATGAGCCACCATGCCCAGCCAACTTAGTCTTGAATAGGTTCATGAGATTGCAGCCATGGGTCAAGGCTGTGGAAATTTCACTGCAGAAGCAGGAGGACTAAAAGATTCCATGTAAAAATCACTCAGAGGCTTGAGATTTAAAAAGCTTTGAGTGTTATTTGGCATAGCTGGGGTAACATTTTTCAGCTCTTCCAATATATAAATGCAACATGGAAATTCAGAGGAGGGAGAAATCAATGAAATTTGGAATAGTCAGGGAAAGCTTGATGGAGGAAACCAGGATTTGATTAGAATATGAAAAAAATAGAAAAAGGCAGGCATGCCGGGCACGGTGGCTCAAGCCTGTAATCCCAGCACTTTGGGAGGCTGAGGCGGGCGGATCATGAAGTCAAGAGATCGAGACCATCCTGGCCAACATGGTGAAACCCCGTCTCTACCAAAAATACAAAAAATTAGCTGGGCATGGTGGCACGTGCCTGTAATCCCAGCTACTCAGGAGGCCGAGGCAGGAGAATTGCCTGAACCCAGGAGGAAGAGGTTGCAGTGAGCCGAGATCACGCCATTGCACTCCAGCCTGGGTAACAAGAGTGAAACTCCATCTCAAAAAAAAAAAAAAAAGAAAAAAAAAAAGAAAAAGAAAAAGAAAAGAAAAAAGAAAAAGCCAGGCATGGCCAGGCACAGTGGCTCATGCCTGTAATCCCAACACTTTGGGAGGCCGAGTTGGGTGGATCACCTGAGGTCAGGAGTTCGAGACCACCCCGGCCAACATGGTAAAACCCCACCTCTACTAAAAATACAAAAATTAGCCAGGCGTGGTGGTGTGTGTCTGTGGTCTCAGCTACTCAGGGGGCTGAGGCAGAAGAATTGCTTGAACCCAGGAGGCAGAGGTTGCAGTGAGCTGAGATTGTGCCACTGCACTGCAGCCTGGGTGACAGAGCAAGACTCTGTGAAAGAAAGAAACAAAGAAAGAAAGAAAGAAAGAGGAAGGAAGGAAGGAAGGAAAGAAAGAAAAGGAAAGAAAAGAAAGCAAGCAGAGAGGGAGGGAGGAAGGAAGGGGCAGGCATGACTATAGTGTCAGAGATGAACTCAGCCTGGAAAGATAGGGTGGGAAAGACAAGAAAGAGAGAGAGGAGGGGAGGAAAAGGGGAAGGGAGGAAGGGAGGGAAGAGAAGGGAGAGAGGGAAGGGAGGAGGGAAGGAATGGAGAGAAGGGAGGGAAGGGAGGGAAGAAGAAGTGGGGGAAGGGAGGGAAGGGGGAAGAAAGAAGAAAAAGAGAAAGAAGAAAGAAAGGCCAGCATGACTATAGTGTCAGAGATGCATTCTAACAGCCTCGGGTGGGCTGCCGCAACAGAACAGAGCCAGAAGAGGAACAGTGGGAATTAGAACTGAAGAATATGCTAGAATTTTTGGTTGCAAGCATTGTAAATCAAGTGAAACTAGTTTAAACAGAAGAGTTTCTACAGCAGAGGTAACGATATCTCCCAGAATCTAAGGGAAGGATTGCAATCAGGTCCCAAAAAGATGGAACCAGAATTAGGAACTAAAAAAGTCACATGGGGCCAGGTGCCGTGGCTCAAGTCTGTAATGCCAGTACTTTGGGAGTCTGAGGCGGGAAGATCACGAGGTCAGGAGATCAAGACCATCCTGGCCAACACGGTGAAACCCCGACTCTACTAAAAGTACAAAAAATTAGCGGAGCGTGGTGCCAGGCACCTGTAATCCCAGCTACTGGGGAGGCTGAGGCAGGAGAATCGTTTGAACCTGGGAGGTGGAGGTTGCAGTGAGCGGAGATCACACCACTGCACTCCAGGCTGGGCAACAGAGTGAGACTCTGTCTCAAAAACAAACAACAAAAAAACCTCACATGGATTCCAGGCAATTTTATCTCTGTCTCATTTCTGCATCTAAGATCTACCTCATTCTGTTCCCCTCTCTGTGGATCAGTTTTCTCTACTCCCCAAGTTACATGGTTAAAAATATGGCCTTGTTGTAATTAGCAATTTGTTCTAATACCTTCTTTGTTGAAGAGATCAGTCCAGACTAAGACTGGAAACTCTTACACCTTATTCCAAAATTCTAGGGAAGGATCTGTGATTGATCTATTTTGGGATGGGTGCTCACTCCCAGGTCAAACAACTGTGAGGAAAGATATGGCTACCGGAAGCTTCTGATTAGCTGGAAGGGGCTTAGGGGGCAGGGTGTTACTCCAAGAAAGAGTGAGGGGCTGTCAGGCAATCCACCCGATGTTTACAACATGAAACAGATAGCAGAATGAAACCATGCAGGATGGGTCGGGTGCAGTGGCTCATGCCTGTAATCCCAGCACTTTGAGAGGCTAGGGTGGGCAGATCGCCAGAGGTCAGGAGTTTGAGACCAGCCGTGGCCAACATGGTGAAATCCCATCTTTACTTAAAAAAAAAAAAAAAAAAAAAAAAAATTAGCTGGGCGTGGTGGTGGTAGCCTATAATCCCAGCCCAGCTCCTCAGGTGACTGAGGCAGAAGAATCGCTTGAACCCTGGAGGTGGAGGTTGCAGTGAGCCAAGATTCCACTGCACTCCAGCTGGTGGGCAGAGCAAAACTGTCTCAAAAAAGAAAAAAAAAAGAAAATCCTGCAGGATGCTTTGTTGTAAAAAGGTGAATTACAGTGATGGCTTACCCATAAAAATGGATAACAAAACGGTTTCAGAAAGGACAAAAATCCAGACAATTTACTACAGAAGAATTAAAGAATGTTGCCCTATTTTCCCAGTACTTTGGGCGGCCAAGGCAGGAAGATCGCTTGAGGTCAGGAGTTCAAGACCAAACTGGGCAACATAGTGAGACCCTGTCTCTACAAAAAACTTTTTTTTTTTTTTTGAGACGGAGTTTTGCTCTTGTTACCCAGGTTGGAGTGCAATGGCGCAATCTCAGCTCACCGCAACCTCCGCCTCCTGGGTTCAGGCAATTCTCCTGCCTCAGCCTCCTGAGTAGCTGGGATTACAGGCACGTGCCACCATGCCCAGCTAATGTTTTGTATTTTTAGTGGAGACGGGGTTTCACCATGTTGACCAGGATGGTCTCGATCTCTCGACCTCGTGATCCACCCGCCTCGGCCTCCCAAAGTGCTGGGATTACAGGCTTGAGCCACCGCGCCCGGCCCAAAAAACTTTTTAAAACTGGCCAGGTGTGTTGGTGCATGCCTGTAGTCCTAACTACCTGGGAGGCTGAGGTGGGAGGACTATTTGAGCCAGGAGTTCAAGGCTGCAGTCAGCCATGATCATGCCTTAGCACTCCAACCTGGGGCAACAGAGTGAGAACCTGTCTCAAAAACAAAACAAAACAAAAATAGGGCCAGTTTCACAGGGGAATCCAACCAAGCATTTATAGAAAAATAGGTTTAATATTATTTTAAAGTAATACATAATAGGTTTAATATTATTTTACAGCCTACATAATAGGAGAAAAACTTCCAACTTCTTATTATGACTCAAGCAAAACAGATTCCATTACTGGCAAAGACTATAACCACAAAACAAAACAAAAAGATACAGACATTTATCTATAACACTATACAGAGGCACTACTTTTCATCTTTCAGGTAGACACATTTTTTAAATGGCTAATACTGCGTTGCTGAGCATGTGAGGAAACAATCAGTTCCGTTCATTGCTGGTAGAGATGGAAATTGGAAAAATCTTCTATAGATGGCAGATCAGCAGTATCTGTCAAAATTACAGATGTTCATACTTTTCAACCAGGATTTTCCACTGCTGTGAATTTATCTAAGAACTATAATATTGTGTATGTTTTGTTTCTTTTGATTGCTTAGATAAAGGCTCTTCTGTGTTTTTTTTTTGTTTGTTTTTTTGTTTTTTTGTTTTTTTTTTGAGATGGAGTTTCTCTCTTGTTACCCAGGCTGGAGTGCAATGGCGCGCTCTCGGCTCACCGCAACCTCTTCCTCCTGGGTTCAGGCAATTCTCCTGCCTCAGCCTCCTGAGTAGCTGGGATTACAGGCACGCGCCACGATGCCCAGCTAATTTTTTGCACCTTTAGTAGAGACGGGGTTTCACCATGTTGACCAGGTGGTCTCGATCTCTTGACCTCGTGATCCACCCACCTCGGCCTCCCAAAGTGCTGGGATTACAGGCTTGAGCCACCGTACCCGGCCAAGGCTCTTCTGTTTTATTAGCTCACCTTTTTTTCAAAGAACCAGCTCCTTCACTTATTTGTTGGTAGTATCATTTTTCTATGTACAAATTCATTAATTTAGTTTTATTTTTCTTTGTGCAGTCCTTATTTTACTTATTTATTTATTATTATTATTATTTGAGACAGAGTCTCGCTCTGCAGCCCAGGGTGGAGTGCAATGGCATAATCTTGACTCCCTGCAACCTCTGCCTGCTGGGTTCAAGCAATTCTCCAGACTCAACCTCCTGAGTAGCTGGGACTACAGGTGTGTACCACCATGCCCCGCTAATTTTTGTACTGTTAGTAGAGATGGGGTTTCACCATGCTGGCCAGGCTGGTCTTGAACCTCTGGCCTCAAGTTGATCTGCCCACTTTGGCCTCCCATAGTGCTGGGATTACAGGTGTGAGCCACTGCGCCCGAGCTTATTTTTATTTCAGTTATGTTTTTTACTTCTTGATAAAACCTTAAGTCACTCACTTTTATTAATATAAAAACGAAAAGGCCTTGTCTTCTGAGCTTTAACTGTAGTCTAATTTGGATTGTCTTTTATCCAAAACTTAAAAGATAGATTTTGTTTGTTACCTGTTTGTTTTTTTGGTTGATCGGTTGGTTAGTTCGTTTTTTTTTGTTTTTTTTTTTTTTTTTTAATTTTAGGTGGCAGAGTTCTTAGGCTTTCTTGTTTTTACTATTAACTTCTTTTTTTTTTTTTTTTTTTTTTGAGACAGAATTTCACTCGTTACCCAGGCTGGAGTGCAATGGTGCGATCTCGGCTCACTGCAACCTCCGCCTCCCGGGTTCAGGCAATTCTCCTGCCTCAGCCTCCTGAGTAGCCGGGATTACAGGCACGCACCACCATGCCCAGCTAATTTTTTGTATTTTTAGTAGAGACGGGTTTTCACCATGTTGACCAGGATGGTCTCGATCTATTGACCTCGTGATCCACCCGCCTCGGCCTCCCAAAGTGCTGGGATTACAGGCTTGAGCCACCGTGCCTGGCCGGTTTTTACTATTAACTTCTGCTTTTAGGGCATTGTGATGAGAAACTATCTGCAGTGGTTCTACTTTTGAGACTTTATTGACAAAAGTCTCTGGCCTAGTGGTTAAGAGCACAGATTGGAAGTTAAACTACCTGGGTTAAATGCCAGCTCTGCTGCTCACTGGCATGAGCTCTGCGATCTTGGCACAAGTGATGTAAGCATTCTGTGCCTTAGTCTCCCCATGTGCAAAATGGGAATCATAATATATGTACTTACGAAAGTTGTTGGAATTAAGCGAGTTAACATTCATGAACCGCTTAGAAGGATGGCAGGGGCACAGTAAGTACCTGTGTAAGCGTTTAGTGTTCTTCTCTTTGTGACCTAAGGTACACCCAGTTATATTGAACATGGTATGGATTCTATTCTTTAAGGCATAAACAAATCTATATTTACAATCTAATCTTTATTATTTGTGATATTTAGATTGCCTATAAGTTTTATTCCTTTCTTCATGTCAACTGTCATGACCTGTAATCTTCTGTTACTACTGTCTTTGTGACTCTTATCATTTTCATTTTTGAGTATTGTTGCCATTTTCTTTGCTGCATATTCATAACTGTTATATATTCATTGGGAAATGGATCCTTTATCATTCAAAGTGTGTTTCTTTGACTTGCTTAATGATTTTGACCCGGATTCAACCTTGTTTGATTGTGACATCTGCTCTCTTTTTATTTGCATTTGCCTAACTGTACTAGTGCCCATCTTTTTATTATCAACATTTATGCATCACTTTGTTCTGAGCAGAAGTAACAGCACAGAGTTAGATTTTGCTTTGTGATCCAATCTGCCAATCTTTTTCTTTTAATAGGTGAGTTGAGCCTATTTGCATTTTTGACCCTAGAGGTATGTTTGAGCATAGATCTATCACATTATGTCATTCTCTCTCCTTTAAACCTTAAAAAAAATCCACCATGAGCTTTTCCATTTGCTCTGTTTTGTGTATGCTACTTCCGATAATTTGGAAGGTTTATATTTTTGTTCTAGCATTTATCTGTCATGTTACAAAGAATCCAATTATGTTCTTTTTGTTATTTTAAAATACACAATTAAATTATTATTTTTTGAGACAAGGTCTTGCTCTATGCCTTTAACCTTCAATTTTTAGAAATGTGTCTATCATTTCATACTTATACTAATAATATTCAATAGTATATAATAAGTCAATGATGAAATTAGTCGGGTTTTTTTCTATATTTTGTGTTTAACTTGGTATTGCAAAATTCACTCAGACCTACTATTTATCACCTTTAAGTGAGAGCTGAAAGCTATCAAGTCAGTGCAAAAGTAATTGCGGTTTTTGTCATTGAAAGTAATGGCAAAAACAGCAATTTCTTTTGCACCAACCTAATACCAATGTACTAACACTACTTTCTACCTTTCTGTTCGATATGGTTTGGATCTGTGTCCCCAGCCAAATCTCATGTTGAAATATAATCCCTAATGCTAGAGGTAGGGCATGAAGGGAGGTGACGGGATCATGGAGGCAGAGTTCCCATGAATGGCTTAGCATCATCCCCGACTTGGTACTATGTGGTGAGTGAGTTGTCACAAGATCTGGTTGGTCAAACGTGTGTGCCCCCTCCCCTCCTTCTCTTCCTCCTGCTCTGGCCAGATAAGATGAGGCTGCTTCCCCTTCCTCCTTTGCCTTCCACCACAATTGTAAGTTCCCTGAGGGTTCCCCAGGAATCCAGCAGATGCTGCCACACTTCCTCCATAGCCTGCAGAACCGTGAGCCAATCAAACCTCTTTTCTTTATAAATTACCCAGTCTCAAGTATTTCTTTATAGCAGTGTGAGAACAGACTAATACACTGTCAGAGTAAAATATTTGGTGATAGCTTTCTTATAAGTGAATATTCTAGTAATTTTTTTTTTTTTTTTGAGACAAACTCTCACTCTGTTGCCCAGGCTGGAGTGCAGTGGCACAATCTCGGCTCACTGCAACCTCTGCCACCCGGGTTCAAGCGATTCTCCTGCCTCAGCCCCCCGAGTAGCTGGGACTACAGGTGCCTTCCACTGCAACTGGCTAATTTTTGTATTTTTAGTAGAGATGGGGTTTTGCCACCTTGATCAGGCCAGTCTTGTACTCCTGACCTCGTGATCCACCCACCTTGGCCTCCCAAAGTGCTGGGATTACAGGCGTGAGCCACCGCACCCGATCTTAGTTGTCTATTTTCTATTGATATTCTCTGTCCACCATTTGATTTTTTTTATTACCTCTTCTGTTAATTTTCTATAGACTCTCAGCTACGTTGTCTGTGTGGTTGCTCATCCTTGAGGAAGATGAGTTTTCCTGGACCAGCTATTTTGATGAATATACATGTAGAGAAACCCCAAAGCCATGTACCCACCTATTTAGCAGGCATTTATCTGACCCCGAGTTTTGCATTTACTCTTCTCTAACTTATTTGATAAGCAGCTGTGGAGCTGTCCACAACAATGTCGTCTCTGCTGCAGGGCAAAGTGCTTCCTACAAATACGTCTTGTCTGTGTGATTCTTCGCTTTGCTCAGCTTCCTCTTTTTCTCAGAACTGAACACAAGAGTTTTAGTCTAAATGCACTGCATCTATCATATTGCAATGAAATATGAGGATTTGGTGCCCACACACTCTCTCACACACACATACCCCCGACGTGTGGATACTTCCTATCTCCCCATCCTCCTAATACAGTTGGATCAATTTTTGGTTGAGTCTGTGTTCAGTGCTTACAGTTTTAGGACCAAATAAATGCTTTTTTATGGCTGATCCATGAAGTATGTTATGAATACTTTTCCTTTCTTGTACACCTTCTCATTTGCTTAGTTTTCTATATAACTCATCTCCACACTCTCACAATGGTAGTAAACATGTTATTGATATGTTGATACTGAGGTATTTGTATGTTTAATCTTGTTTGAGCCTATCTTGGAACCTTCTGACCTGCTCCTGACCTGTCTTGAAATATGTCCCCACCATCAGTCCAGGCATTCCCTTCATCTCTCTTTTAAGCTGGAGCCCCTGTTTCTTATATGCCATGTCTTTTTTCCGATTTTGTTCTCAAATTTTTGATGGAGTACATTAATCGAAAAATAATTTTATATTATATACATGTCTGAAAAGATATTTGTTCTACTACATATTTGAATGACAGTTTCTAGTTGGAAATATATTTTCCTCAGGATTCTTAAGGAATTGCATCATTATTTTAGTATCCAGAGTTGCTACTAAGAGGTCCGATGTTGGCCGGGCACGATGGCTTGCGCCTGTAGTCCCAGCACTTTGGGAGGCTCAGGCAGGGGGATCACAAGGTCAGGAGATCGTGAC